AAAGGTCTATCAAGGCCTATACAGTCTGCACTCTAGACCAGTGTTTCTAAACCTTGCCACCTTTAAGTTGTGGGGACTTCCACTCGCAGAATTCCCCAGCCAGCCATTCTGGGAGTTGAAGTCCACACATCTTAAAGTTGCCAAGGTTGAGAAACACTGGTCTAGAGTGCAGACTGTATAGGCCTTGATAGACCTTTGGCCTCACTGAACATAATCTAGAGTTGCAAAGATCAATTTTCCATACCTCGTCCTGTTGGAGGATCATCATGAGTGCTGGCATCACTACAGCTGGCTGGCTGCGAGCTGCATGTATAATACGAAATACTAAATCCTCCTGGTTTGTTTCTTCTGGGAACTGCAGCAGTTGACTGATGGAGCAGAGATGTCCTAGCCAAAAGACCAGAAATGATGTAGGGCAAGAATAACATGCCCTTGGTTTTATGGTGGAAGCACTGTCAGGTGTGGTTTGATACTTGTCCAGCTGGACTTTTTTGTATTTTTAAAAAAATATGTATTTTAATTGAAAAGTAAAGGAAAACTTTGAACATTGAATTGAAAATGGGAAAGTAAAGGGAAGAACCAGTTTGGTGTAGTGGTTAAAGCATTAGGCTAGAAACTGGGAGACTGTGCATTCTAGTCCAGCCTTAGGCATGTGGCCAGCTGGGTGACCCTGTGCCAGTCACTCTCTCTCAGCCCTAGGAAGGAGGCAATGGCAAAAGACTTCCAAAAAAACTTGCCAAGAAAATTGCAGGGACTAGTCTAGGCAGTTGCCAGGAGTCAACACTGACTTGAAGGCATCAAAAAAAAAAAAAAAGGAAATTGGTACACCAAAAAAGGAAAGCTCTAGCCTCCAGCATCATCTTCATATTCCAGAATGCTTTTGGACCACAAACAGGTTCACAAATGTTAAAAAACAAAAATGGCAGACAGCTGCAGCACAAGAAGAGTGCCTATTTGTCTAGAAAAAGGACAAAAGCAGAGGCAAGAAGGATCCTTTACATTTGACCCTAGAAGTCCTGCTACTAAGTCTATTAATTATATATATTTATTATTTATTGCATTTATTTACATTGCCCTGCAAATGAAAAAGTCTTACCTCCACTTGATGGTGCCCCCTCATCAGCCATATGTTCATACTGCTTCTGTTTCGTGTTTTCTGTCCAATGGTGAAAGGAGAAATGATTGTGGTTTACATTTACCCTCCCCAGCTCACTTCCCAGTCTTATGGTAGAGATGCAATTATCTTTCTCTTGTAGAGTATGACAACTCCCTATGGCATCCCAGTCATTGTCTTAGCATGTTTGAACCAGGCCATCATAAAAAACAGTATTATGGCTTCTTTGTTGGGCATAGAATTGTGAATGCTACTGTATTTTGATAACCTGGAATTAGGCTTTACCATGATCTATAAACCAAGCCAAACATCTGTCTGAATAGGCTGTCATACCTCAGAGAATGAAGTTTCAGAAATGGCAAATGACAGGGCAGTGTCTTCCCAGAAGAATACGTATAGATCACCCTCCCACCTGACAAGGACCTCACGGGGGTCCCCCACCCAGCTCACTTTGTTCTTGGTTGAATGTTCAGATCTTGCATTAATCATTCCCAAAGACAGAGCAATCAGAAAGAGGGGCTGATAACTGAGATGGGCCAGGAACAGTGTGTCCAAGAGACAAGCCCCAGTTGACCTTAGTTAATGGAACAGCAACCTCCACAGAGCTCTGTGACATCACTGGAAAGCTGGGAAGCCCTTGGCTCATTCATATGGACCAAGCCAAGGAAGAGAATCCAAACAGCAAGGGGATTAACAGCAAGTGAGGAAAGCAACTTGGAAACACTTTGCTTCCTACAAGAATCCTAGGAAGCTGGTAGCAGCAATTTTACAACCCCAATTCTTGTGTGAGCCACTAGCATATTCACAGATGGTGGCCGCACCACCTGAAACTGAACCCAAGGCTAATAGAAGCAGTGTCTCTAGCTATTCTCCACCCTTTGTTCAAGTATATTTTGGGTTTGCACAGAAGGTTTGGGTAAAGGATGGAAAAGGAAAGGAGACAAAGATGCAACGCACCAGGAGCGTCTCTGCTCTCTAGCTTACTGAAAAGCAAAAGTTGTGTTGGGCAACTTAACTGTGCTTTAAATACTTGTTTTTCTAAGAAAATGTCTTACAAATAATAATATTGAAATATTATCATCATTTTAATTGTTCCTTGTCCTTTGTTATAAACTGAGTACAAACAGTATATATACTCTTGGTAGAGGACCCGAGATTGAGGAAGACAGATACCACCCATAGGGGTGAGGAGGGAATTTTTTTATACATACATACACACATCCCTACATGTATATATAAATATTATTCACACACATAGGCACAAAAACACATCCATGCACACAAAATAAAATACAACATGTTGCCTTCCTTAGGCTTAGAATGTTTTTGTAATCTCATGATCTTGTGTGAAGAAAGGGAGAAAAACGGAGGTTTCTGTCTCATCCTTTGAAGAAACTGTAGTCCAAGCATCTATGTACAGTACAGCACCATATGGCCCACCTCCAGATTAAACTGAGGTTCAAGAGTCATTCATAGGATGCAGAAGCAGAGGTGAGAAACCAAGGTGTAGAATATCTCAGAGGACAGCAGGCTGCTTGACAACGCTTTCATCATAGTGAGCCAGCAGAGGCTGAAGTATGGATCAAATCTTGAGGAAGGCTTTCCCGGGCTTCCTGCATCCGGCGACGGGCCCGCTGAAAAGCCTCTGCAACAAAGAGGGTGGGCATGGTGGTAGTCAGGTGGTGGTTCAGACTGGGCAATTAGCTGGTTCCCCTACCTCCCCACGCCCTCCTTCTAGATTTTGTAACCCCAATCCCATGCTGAAAATATTCAAAGCGTGTGATGAGTTGAATACATTATGCAGGTTAGAACGTAAGTCTAGCTTCTAGTAGCCCTGTGGGAGAGATCAAGAGAATATATTGTGTAAAAGCAAAACAATAATTTTGAATTCTCCAAACCTTACTTACTTGTTCTGTCACTCCCATTCAGAGTAACAAAGATTTTTTTAAAGACCTGGGGGCTACAAAGTTATTTTAACTTTTTAAAAAAGAATATGGAATACTTCTCCTCTGGCAAATCTGAATTTTTCAAGTAATAAATAGTATACCACATGTTTTTCATTAAGTAGATAAATAAATACTATCCTCCTTAAATGGTCCTGATGTTCAAGAGAATTTAAAACAAAATTTAATTAGAAGATATGTTCATCTTTAATCAAAAAAATGAATAACCACCTATTAATTAGGTCTCTTTTAAAAAACCGGTACCATACATTGAACTAAATGGTGAAACAACTCAAAATTAAGTTGCATAAAGGTGGCCACTGAGAATCATAAGAACATAAGCAGCGTCCTCCTGGATTGGACTCCTGGCCCATCTAGTCCAGCAGTCTGTTCTCACAGTGGCCAATCCACCACACAAGGAAGCCCACTGGTTTCCCAGCAGATGGCCTTCAAAGCAGGCACACTGTCATCAAGGCTAATAGCCACTGATCTCCAGGACTTCCATGAATTAGTCCAACCCTTTTTTGAAGCTGTCCTAGCTGGTAGCCAGCACCACATCTCACAGTAGCAAATTCCAAAGTTTAATTATGCATCAATATTTCCTTTTGTCTTCTTCCAGCATTCAATTTCATTGTGTGACCTCTGGGTCTAGTATTTTGGGGAGGGGAAAACAGCTTCTTGTCCACTTTAACCATACCATGCAGTTTTGTGCACCTCAATCACATCCCCTCTCATCTGCCTTCTTTCTAGACTAAAAAGCCCGACATGTCTCAACCTTTCCTCATAAGGAAATAGTTATGGCAAAGATCCAAATAGTCGTGCTTCATGCAAAAAAATCCTACCAGCTTTCTCTGCATCAGAAGCCTTACCTAAGACATTATAGAGGGAACCTTGCTGACTGAAGCCTCCCAGGCGATCCAGAACACTCTGCATGCGTTTCTTCATGGAGCTGGACTCCAGAAAAGCTCTGCCAAGAAACAAGTTTTAAAACTAGCAACACTATGCTATAATATAGGAATTCCAGGAAGAGGAGGGCCTTTTTCTTAAATTATAAGAGAAATTTGTTTTATCCCCATCAAACGGTGTCCAGGCTTGCTTCTGTTGCTGACAGAAGGTTGAATGAAATAAATCCTTGGTTTGATCCAATAATGCAATGCTAATGTTTTCACAATAGTTAGTAGCATGCAATCCTAAAAATACATTTATAATAAAGTGCTCGGGATATGGCTACTATCCTATAGCTATACTGGCTACAAAGGACTCATCTTGTTAGCAGGTCCCTGTTGTTAAGTTTCGGGGGAGACCAGGAAGAAACAGGAGATTCAACAGCTACTGTTGCTGATTCCTTGAAATTAATCCAAAGGCTGCTACCAAGTGAAGGTTCTCAGCTCTGGAAAACTGGCATCTTCCCTCTCTCTCCCTGGAACATTACTCCTTTCTTGAGGATCACATTTTTTCCTGAAGCTGGGGTAGATGGGCTTCTGAGCACTTTTATGTTCTTTAAATAAGCAAGATATACTATATCCATCTTGCATCATACGTATCTTTTTCTCCACTATGAAAATAACTTATAGGTAGTTCTCAGGTTACGATGGCAACTGGGACTGGGATTACCATTGCTAAGCGATGCAGTCGTAAAGTGCGATGTCATGTGACTGCATCGCTTAGCGACAGCAATCCAGGCAGTCCTGGTTGCCGTCATAACCCCAAGATGTATGGGTCGTTAAGTGGGAAGCGGCAGGGATCCCAGATAAGGAGCACAGGGGTGCTGCAGGGGAGTGGGGGAGGCCCTGCACAGGCCACATGCAAGTTAAGACAGGTGGGTGCTATGGTGGAGTTTGAGTGCAGGGAGGCCGAGGGAAGGAGGGCGCAGGTTGGCATGAGTGCAGAGAGGCCGAGGGAAGGAGGGCGCAGTGCAGTGCGTAGGAAGGCAGGGCAGACTTACCAGAGCAACTTGCCATGTTCCCTGCTGGCTTCCCCATTGGCTTTGCTTGTGGGAAGCTGGCAGGGAAAGTTGCAAATGGTGATCATGTGACTGCAGGATGCTGCAACTGTCATAAGTGCAAGCTGGTTGCCAAGTGCTTAAATTGTGATCACATGACCACGGGGGTGCTGCGATGGCCAGAACTTTGAGGACCAGTCATAAGTATCACTTGTTCAGCACCACTGCAACTTCGAATGAATGGCTGGTAAGTGAGGACTACCTGTATATGCGTCCTTATGTTTGCATCCATATCAATGAGAATATTGAAATTAGGCATCTGAATCTGAAGACAGATAACCAAGCTGATAGTGGAAGCTCCTTTTTGCCCAAATTTGCTTAAATACAGAGGGAAAGAGATTCTCTTTACTATGCATGTTCAGAATTTCTAGAAATTCTCTCTCTCTACTGGAGAGAAAGTCTTACTTGGACTGCTGCAGGCAGTTCAGCCGGAAAGTGACACTCCCTGTTGTTTCAGAACGAAAACCAAAACGGCTGAGACGATCACCCTGCACAGAAGATAAGCATCAGATTAGGGGAAGTCCTAGCTGAGTCTCCATCCTTCTTTCTCATGCTCCTAAAATCTACCAAACTCTGGACCAAAATGCTCCGCAGATGATAAACTGGGGGGGTGGGCATAGGGAGGCAGGCACTCACTGTGAAAGTGCTTGGCACTCTGGTGTAGGTCATATCCTCGAGCTCTGGAGATCCCCCAATGAAAAACCTCTGTAGTTCTGAGATGGTGCCCAACTCCACAGGACGCCATGTAGAAGCAGACAGTGTGTGAGCCCCTGAACCATCAGGTTTGAACAGGGGGATGATGCCAGAGATATGGAAAAAAATCAAGAGGCTACTCAGAACACGCATGCCCAGCACCAGCACTGTTAGCCACTGAGATTATAATTTAAAGGTTCCAGTGAAATACAAGGCCTGATGATTCTTGCCTGGAACTGTATACTACAAGCAAAGGAATATTTAGAGCTACTCTACATACACCAGGTCAGAGAAGCTGGATTCATGTGGCTTGTAGAAGATGCCATAGTAGTCAGTTCACACATGATGTTTATTTATATATTTGTTGGCTTGTATGACATCTCAGTCACAGAGTGACTGTAGGTGGCTTATGATGAACCATAAACCATGGCTTACATACCACAGTGACTAGGTTTGTATCACACTAAGCCTAGCACAATGTACAAACTAAGCTCAGCGCAATGTACAAACTCAGCCAATTTGTCCATCTCTTGGACTATGACTGTAGGAGATGTTCACATCACTTGGTGTGTCAGCCTTTTGCCAAAGATATATTATCCCATTTGAATGGGAGGAGGGGAATCCTTTCAAACCCTTAGATCATCTGCCTTTTCTTCCAAGATTCTCATATGCTAATCTCCCCTGTAATGTGTTAACTGAACAACAGCAAAGGACAAAATGCCTTGCCCAAAACCACTCAGGAAATTTCACCATTCAGCGAGAATGTGAGTCTACTAACAGAATGACAGAAATACATGAGGAAGAGAGTATCGATTGTAAAGATAGCCAAATGCATGCCATCTTAAAAAAGGGGTTTGCTTCCAGAAACATTCCAGCAGTTAAAAAGAAGAGTTTTCTTGACTACAGTTATCAGGAGAACATCTAATACCAAAACCAGAATGAAAATACTCTACTGGAATCAAATAAATAAATACATAAAAATTTGCTTTTATTTTTGTTTTCTATTATGTGTTTTTGTTTTATTGTAAGCTGCCTAGAGTCACAATAAAAGTGAGATGGGTGGCTATATAAATTGAGTAAATAAATAAAAATAAACAAATTTGCCTCATGAGTTGCACCAATGCAGAGATCAGCTCTACCATTGCCTTTTACCTGGCGTTGCTGGCAGCACCACAAACCCATAGCCTTCAACACGATATCTATGCCAGAAGTCCAAGGAAAGGACCTCAAAGTACAGGACAGGCCACTGAGGGAAGGAGCCTATAGGAGGAAGGGAGACAGTGAATAAGACACCAGCCCGTCTCTTGTTGTCCTGTTTTATTCCAGGGTAAACAGGCAGTGTGGCAATTGTGCTGCTGGCAGGATGTTGAATGCAGCTTTCCACTGGGACCAGTTTAAAGCATTTTGGTACCTATAGCTTTTCCCTCAGGCATAATCCTCTGAGATACTCTCAAGTGTTTATTGAAATGAATATGAGCTGTGCAACAATTCCATCCTACTCTTCTGCAGCTCCCACTCATTTCAGTGCAGTTTTCCTGTAGAGCAAACATGTACAATTGGAGGCTTCAAGGCTGTTTACAGTTCCCCAAATCCATGGCTCCAGCTCTGAGAAATCTCCAAAAGTTGTAACCAATTTGTCATTTTTAATATGGGAGAAGGTGTATCCAGTTTGAATACATAACTGGAGAGTAATCATATTCATTACATTTAACTGTAATTAAATTTTAATATGCAATTTTTAAATAGAATTTTGTGTTTGTCTCTATCAGTATTAGGAGTGGTGGTGATGGTGGCATATCTCCCAAAGGCCAAATGTCAACCTCAGCCTGGAAAAATTTGTGCATTCATAATCTAGGGAATATCCCCAAGAATGATGCCCCATAAATTAAATCCATGGGACAGTCCAATCAACTCCCCAAACGAAGTCAAACACCTCATATCCATTAGAGCAGAACCATCTCTGAACGTCTTTCTCACACACAAATCTGACCTCCAGTGGCATGACTCACCTTCCAAGTCATCCTCTGGGCTGAAGAACATCTCCAGGGCAAACGGGAAGGAGAAAAAAGCCACCCTGTCCTGGCAATGAAAAATAGTCGCATCAGCTCCTACACGGGGCAGCAGGAAACAGAACAAGTGGGTGCATGTGTATGATGGGAGGCAGACGACTGGTATTAGAGAGCAGGAAACATGCCCTGAAGATGGATATGCCTTGGACCAACAGAATCACTCTACTGGCTTTGTGCCAAAATTGAAGAATTCATATAGCATGGTCCAGGAATCTAGAGCAAGGGAGGTCTTGTTTTCCAAATGTTTGTCTATACCTTCAAGGTCTTCTCCAATCTGCTGTTCTCCAGATTTATTTTTAATTTATTTTTTAAAATTATATCAATTTATATAGGTACCCATCTCGCAATTGCAATTCTGGGTGGCAATCCTAGACTAAAAGCCTCGTAATTCCGAGCCACTGGGCATTCCAGTTGAAACTGTGAGAATTTGTGGGCCAATTGAGGCTCAACAAAATTTACTATAAATCATTAAGAAATCTCAACAGATAGCAGCATAATACATTTAAGAATTAAAGGAATAGGTTGAAGAAGGCTCAACTAGAATGTAAGTTTGAAATATTAGGGCTGTCAGAAAACTAAAATCCATAGCAAGAACTGCATTCCATGGAATCACGTAAGGCTGCTGCTCCTTAAAGTATGGAAGGAAAATGTGCCCAAAAGCTAACTTTAAACACTGAGACTCTGCAGCTAGTCCCCTTCCCCACAAACACACCACCTTAAACATACTTTGCCATATATTTTACTAGTGCAAGTCTGGGTCACTCCAGAGAGTGGCTGAGATGGGGGACACGACCAGCCTAGAAGGAAGCAAATAGAAGCCTTAGCATTACAGAAAAAACAGCAAGATTAATTAGGAGCTTATGCTGAGCAGGCTGGGATACTGCAGAGCAGGAAATTCTGCTCCAAAACCAGACATTCTTTCATCACGTATTGCATTTTTGTTTTCAAAACCATGAGAATTTCTTCCAGATACGCTGATCTGGAAGAATATGGAAGAGTAGATGGCATAAAATATAAACACTTGCCCCTTTTTCTTTTCTTCCCCCTGAATTATGCGCACTTAGAATCAGAATTACTTCAGTGTTATAGAAGTAATGCTACCTTATGTTACTAGCCATACTACTGTTGGGGTGACCCTGAAGTGTGAAGAGTGTGATGCAATGGATGGGTGGGTGGTGAGGGGGGAAGGGAAGGGTGACACAAGGACTTTTTGTGGCTCTTATCATGAGATTGGATCTGGTGACTGATTGTCCATCAGTATCTTGAGACTGGATATTAGGGAAAGGGTGTTTTGGGGAACATATGGTATCAAATAACAAGATGGTAGGTTCAAGGATATGCCTGATTTGCTGTGGGAGGACTTATGGATCTCTTATTTTTTCAATTATTTCTTTGAACACTAAAAATCAGTCCAAAGCAACTCCCTTAGGAGAATACACATTTCTACAAAAACTGGATGTGGTAGATGCCATATCGTATCTTGCCCCCCACCCTAAGGTCCCAATTTGTATTACTCACAGCTGGGCAGTTCCAAGAAGAAGTGTATGTACAGATTGCTGTACTCATAACCCTGAGCTGAAACTGAGAAAGAAGAGGAGAGGCACTAATAAAGCCAGATTCTTTGGACCTTTTCTCTTATTCTTAATCAAGCTTTCCAATCCTAAGAAGGTACACACATCTTGCTAAAGAGACTGAGATTAAAACAAAACCTGAGTGAGTTGGCTATTTATTTAATCAAACTTGTAGGATATCTTAATTACAGTCACAACTGTAGGTGATTTAGAAACTGTAAAAGATTAGTCATCTTAACTAATAGCAAAGAAGTGCCTAAATCAACATTAGGGAAACAACAAAAGTAATTACAGAAGCACAGAAGGAATACCGTACATCAGGTAGCAGGATCACAAACTACTTTTCCTCTATGCCAGTGTTGTCCAAACTTGGCCACTTTAAGATGTGAGTGGACTTCAACTCTCAGAATTCCCCAGCCAGCATGGCTGGCTGGGGAATTCTGGGAGTTTAAGTCCACTCATCTTAAAGTGGCCAAGTTTGAACAAAACTGCTCTATGCTGTTTCATAGGGGAGGCATAGGCTTCCAGCTATGGTTTGACGCTTGATATCCTGGGGATCAATCCTGGGATGAATGTGGAAGAAGGAGGAGAAACAAACACCCTCAAGAATAATGCCTTAAAGAGCATCTTACCAATTTCACCATTAACAAAGAGTCGGAGAGCACCAGGAGCAGTCTATAAAAGGAAAGAGTGAACATTATCCAGTAGGAAAACTGCACCTCTATGATAGAGCTTAAGTTGGTTCTGTGGTTCCTGAACAAAACACTTGGTGTGTCCAGTTAAAGGATTTCAGGTAAAAGATTATATGAAAAGCTTTCCACTGCCTGAGAGCTGCTGGCTCATCAGACTTAATAAATCTGGACTAGATGAATCAAAGGGTTGATTTGATATAAAGCAACTACATTTTTATATTAGAAGAGGAATGTCAGAGGCACAACCCCAGGTCAGAGATATGTATTATTAAGGCACATTCTGATGAGTGTATTGCACAAAGAGTAGTTTACATGCAGCAGCTAACCGTGTTGTGGAAGGAAGTTCTCATTCTACCTCTTCTAATACTTGATTTTATGAACACAGGGAGGGAGGCTTTTTTGATAGTCAGCCAAAGAGGAGACATACCGAAGGTTATGAGGTGAATTCATGACAGAGGTGGCAGGTAAGTTCAGGACTTAAGCCTCAATTGTGAGTGTGCTTCAGGTTCAAAGGTAAAAATATCCTTGAGTTGGGCTTGGCTCCTGGTGGCTGATCCATGTAATTTTTAGCAATGTTACAGAAGTGGTTTGCCTTTGCCTTCCAGAATGTTTTTTTTTTTTTTAATTTCTCAACAGCTCTGGAATTTCTGTGTGATTCTCCATCCAAGGGCTAACCTGCATCAACCCTGCTAACTTCTCATATCGCTCAAGGCCAGCTAAATACTACCGTGTGCTAAGGCATGTATAAAATTATATTTGCACAATTTAATTTTCAATGTGGGTTTCTCATTTAATTAAACAATAACTACTATGAGAAATTTGCTGGATGAGCAAAGGACTAAGATGCTAAGAAGAAAACAGCAGCACCATTTCTCCCACTCCAGCAAAAAGTCACGATTATAACTCTGGTTAAGACAACCTGCAAATTGCAGGAACTTTACCTATTAGCTCAAATCAGATAAAAAGTCAGTTTCCAACAATGGTAGCTAATCATGAATGTTGTGGTAATTCATTTCACAGCACAACACCAAATTCCACCAACCTGACATCTCCACTAAAAATAGAACCAGATTGTGGGATTGTAAGATTCTGTCTTAAACAAGTTAGGATTAGGGTTAACAGTTAACAGGTAAAGCAGACATATCTGGTGCAAAAATAAGTCATTTACCATCTCAAAGTCAGATCCAACAAGTCCACTGAGGTACTCCTTATGCCGGCTGTACAACTAAAGAATGAAACATACGATCAGAAAATAAGACATTTTCTAAATAAAATGTCTTATTTGTCTTCTAAATGTCTTCTAAAATAAGACAGAAAATAAGACATTTTCTATATCCCTTCTACAAATTTAGTTCCCATTTAGGAGCAAAAGGTAAGAGCTCTTACATCCTTGAAGACACGCTGTTCCCGTGCCTCCTCCTTCTCTTCCACTGTGGCTGAGGCATTCTCCAGAGTGAATTTCCACATTTCCCGCTTTTCCCCTTCCAGCTCAATCCTTCAGAGTGCCAAACAACACAGCCCAACTCAGAGAAAAGATCTGTACAATCGACATGCAAGCACCCCTTGGCTCCAATCCATCTTCAAAGATCAAAGAGCTCTAAGTGCTGCTCACCTGTAAGGCCCTTTTGTGCCTGTAAAATCTGGCTTGACTGTGATGACTCCATTGCTATCCACCTTGATCATGCAGAGAACATACTCATACTCCTTGCAACCAAGTCTACGGAGAGATCATTATAAAAACATGGCCTGCTTCTCAGGGCTTAGAATACTGGCAGCACAAGACACTTTCAGAAAGTGTCTGTACATATAGAATTATGATGTGCCCAGATCCAGGAACTTTGATGACCAAAGGAGAACCCTCAGCCACAGAAGATGGCCTGGAAATATGGGAGACTTTCTATGCCCTTCTGGGCTGCTATGAATTTGATCCATACTTGAATTCTTTCTGGAATGAAGTCCAGAAAGGATCTCATTAACCTCATACTATGTCACTTGGTCAACACATAGCAGGGATTACTGTGATCTCTTTGGCACACTCTTCATTTTTGCTATCCTCTCATCTGAAATCTATACTAACTTTTAGAGACAAATTCCGCAGAAATGGAACCAATGTGAACAACACCGTTCTTGCTCACCTGCCAGCTTCAGTTCTATACCAAGGTGTGCTACTGACTTTTGTTCAGCTCCAACCACTTCTTGGAAACTAGAGGGGCTGAGAAAAAACAACGGGGCTGGGAAGCTTCAATGCATAGACACAGACTTACTTGCCTTGGGGTCCTAGGTCCCCCATAATATACATGGTCTGCACAGGGGTATTAATGACATGGTTGTTCTTGATGAATTCTTCTGAGGGCTGCCAGGTGATAATTCGGGATTTCAGGATGTTTCCTTCTCTGCCAAGAGAGGCAAAGGAGACTGTTGCCTATAACGAAGCAGGTTCCTTTCTGCTTCAGCAGAACATGCAAAAGAGCCAAGGAATGCCAGGGAGAATCAAAACTGCCACCCCCTCAAGCCAGAGGTCTGCCCAGCAAAACCACCATTCGTGGCTGCACTCACACTGGCCTGCGTTCTTGCCGTCTCCTCCTCACATTGGCCATCATTTCTGCCAAATATGAAGGCGCTTCCTTGGCAGAGGTGGTCACTCTCTGACAATGCTGGAACATAAGAAGAGACTTTCTTGTACTCATTTTATATAGGAGCAATATGAGCGAAAAGAAGTTCCATTCAACCCACACAAATATTTCTTTAGCAGTACTGTATTTCTGGTACAGAGTAGACGGCAAAAGCTCCAGATTGTCAGCTTTTGGCAGAGGGAAGAAAACGGTCAGTAGGAAATGAACATGGCTTGCTGTTTTGCTTCCCTCTCTGCCATCCCTCCTCTCCAAACAGATTCATTCTCACAAAAATAAAATACTTTCCTTTAAGCGGTGTGGACTTCAACTTTCAGAATTCTCCAGCCAGCTTGCTTGCTGGTTGGAGAATCCTGGGAGTTGAAGTCCACATCTCTTAAAGTTCCCAAGGTTGAGAAACATTGCTCTTGTCAGCCTTACCAGGAAACACAACCAGATAAACAAATTCTACTTTATTGTAAAGCTACATTAACAGAATCTTGCAAGTCTGAAAGTACAATTCTCCTGCCATCTTTACAGCCACAAATTCTACTTTATTGTAAAGCTACATTAACAGAATCTTGCAAGTCTGAAAGTACAATTCTCCTGCCATCTTTACAGCCACAAATTCTACTTTATTGTAAAGCTACATTAACAGAATCTTGCAAGTCTGAAAGTACAATTCTCCTGCCATCTTTACAGCCACAAATTCTACTTTATTGTAAAGCTACATTAACAGAATCTTGCAAGTCTGAAAGTACAATTCTCCTGCCATCTTTACAGCCTGAGAAACTAGGGAGGGTCCCTTCTGAGGCTCTTGCCCCACACACTATCCAGCTGCGGGCTATGCTGTCTCTTATCTGACTGTCCCCTAGGCAGTATTTCTTCGCCCCGTCTCCCAAGGTCTTTCCTACATACCATTACAACTCTAGAGTTGAACTGAACACCTGGTGATTACATGCTTTCTTGGCAGTAATATGAAAGTGATTTGGTATTGCCATCTTTCAATATATTTTTCCAACTTCCTAGTCTAATCTACAGCTCTGGGCTTTCCTGGTGATCTTCCATCCAAACAGCACAGAGGTCCAAGCCTGCTTGGCTTTAGAGGGATCAGCCAAGATCAGCTAGGTACTACTATCTGCCTGAATCTTACTACTTAAGCCAGGAATTATAGTTGTAATTAACAATATCATTAATTATTATTTAAGAATTATAATTTTTTTCATTGCTTCACACTTGCCGGATGGAACAATTCCTCTCTTCCTATCACTCATGCTGACATAAAGAATGGACTCTGGGTCAGCCATCCCATTTCCAACCCACTTTCATCTCTGTTAAAAAGCTGGCACCTCCTCTAGGTTGGTGAAGCGGTCATGGTCTGTGTAGGTGAAGATCCGCTTATTCTTCCGACCCCCCAACTCTTCCAACTTCAGGATGTCCTGGTGGTATTGCCGGTCAAGTGGGCTCTGGCAGGCAGAGTCATTCTGGTAAAGATCGACCTCAAACTAAATAAGAATAGGGAAAACCTTTGTTGCTGGTGTAACAAAGCCCTTCCTACAAAAGCTTTAGCTCATGGAACTGCAGTGTCAGCAAAGCAGAGATCCCAACAAAAAGCAGATAGACAGCTGCATTTGACAGCAAATGACAGAAAGGGCTACTGACTTCTGTAGCTATTTAGATTTCTCATATTTAAATAGATGCACTGAAGTTGAAGAATGGGGGAGAAGCAAGGGGACACAGTTTGGACAGGATCTTCCACCAAGGTTACAGTCCAACAAAATGAGTGAAAAGTAGTCAGAAACCTTTCTACCTATTAGACTGAGCCATTAGCCTCTAAAAAACTTGAATGAGAAGGTATACAAAGGAAGTCTGTCTTCTTCGTTTAACATGAAAAGGCCAAAGCCCTTGAGAGTATGATGCTTGGTACAGCTAAACTGATTCCCTATTCAAGGCCTTATTCAGCTAGGTAAGGAGAATAACTGATTATAGGGGCGATCAAAATGTTTTATTTTGAATTATTTTGAGTGTGAAGGTACATAAAATTCCTTCTGAACATGAAACAATTGTTTCAATGTAGAACAGGCTGTTTTGAGTATTTTAGAAGCATCCCAAACTCCCCAAATGTTCACAGCAGGGGTTTGGTGCTTGAGAAGGCTTGAGGCAAAATGTTTTACACACCTTTACCTGACTGATTGAAAGAAAATGTAGGCCTGCTGTTGAGATCCAGATGACTTACTACTTCATATTTTTCACCTGAGAAGTATATTGGAATGAAGTTTGTACTCTTAAACATTCCACCAGAGATATTCACATGATTTTTGCAGGAACAGCACATGATAAATTCTGTAAGATGGTCAGCCTGAATGAGTGTCTAAAATATTGTGCTTGGATGAAGGAGACCTAGGTTTAAATTATGGCTTAGCCTGATATGAGCACTTTGACCTACATTACAGAAATGTTACTGTAAGAATAAATTAAATAAGCACTGCCAGAAGCACTGAAAACTGCTAGAATTATTAGTGAAACAATCATTCTGTCCACTTACTTGACTGAAGAGTTTCTCTTGCCAGCCAATAATAGCCTCCTCTTTCTCCTCCTCAGGGCAATGCCCGCCTAAAACACAGACAAGTCTCCAAAGTGCATGTGGCAAGAATAATGGCTTAAGGTACTCTATCCCTCCCCCAAAAATTTCTTTCTGGTTCTTAATATACAGAACATCTGGACAGGCCTAATGATTATTTTATTGCCTTCAATGTCTTTATATTTATATTCAGAACCAAAGCCAGAGTCAAGAAAAACTTATGAATTAGTCACATCAAATCACTGCACAAATCTTGGGGCATTTAATCTGGCAATTTAACAAGAAAAGCAATGTAGGAAATGAGAAAATTACTAGGGGGAGAGCAGACAATCTCACTGGCCAAGGTCATCAGTTGTGTTAAGGTAAACGGTACTCACTGACCACCAAAATAAAAATTAGTTTAAAAGTTAAACAAAATAATATAGAAACATCTCTTCGTTCTATGGGCATATTCTGCAAAGAGGATGTTTCAATTATTTGGTTTTATGCTGATTTATGCTGATAAAGCCTTTGTAGCTTTAACAAGACCTGACCAGACTTCCAGAAATCATTGTTCTCAAACCCCAACTAAGAGCACTCACTTGCTGTGTTGTGAGGCCCCAAAGTGGACAAGCTGATGAACTGTTGGCCTGGTTGGCAGGAAGACTGCTGAAACTGCTGCAGCAAAAGGGTAGTGGAAGTAACCCGCTGAATTTTAACCCTGCAGAAAAGAAATCCATTATTTTTGGACATCTGGAACGTGACACTCAAAACCTGTCGCTTCAAACAAGCAGAAACAGAGGAAGATCAAATAACTGTTCTACCTAGACGTTTGTCCCCACTAATCATTACCAGCGGCCAATTGAGAAGTATCTGAATTAAAAAAAGTTTTTTTTTCTTTTTAAAGATACTTAAGAATAGAAAGTGGATATGTAGGGGGAGCAATACAAAAAGGGATTTACAAACTCCAAAAACTAGGTAAGAATTTATAACAATTTGTGAATTATAATTCTGCGCATAGACTTCTGCCACATCTGAAGTTTGGATTTCTCTTAACGTAAGATCTTAAAATGCCAAATTCTGTCTAAGTGGTTATAAAGTTAAGGACAGACTGGTAAGGAATGCTAAGAAAAACATTCCTCTAATATTCCACTACTAAGATTAAATTAAGACAATATATGGAGATAATCACAATCAATTTAAAAGTATCAATAGGGTGAAGTCAGAAATTAACAATGACAACCAAAGTAATAAGAATTATCAGTCAAAATAATAAGAGTTGACAAAAATTTCTAGCTAATCTGAGACAGTCCGTCAACTTTATAACCACTTAGGCAGAATTTGGCATTTTAAGATCTTATGTTAAGAGAAATCCAAACTTCAGATGTGGCAGAAGTCTATGCGCAGAATTATAATTCATAAATTGTTTCCAAGTTGAATATTGGACTTATTTTTTTAAATATGAAATTATTTTTGACATTGATGCATATTTCCAAAGTTTGGTCTGCCAGTCTTCTAATGAAAGAATCGAGTGTAATTTCCAGTGGGAAGCATAAAGTATCCTAGGAGCTGTTATGTACAAAGCTACTTTGGTATACTTTGTAGAAAGATAAGGCTTAGTGATGCTTAACAGAAAAACAGTTGCAGGAAAGAAAAGTCAGGGTTTAAAATCTGTTTCATTCTAAGACGAGGCATCTTCCAGAATGGCTGGGCTTCCCACTAGATATAAAAAAATGATCCAACCTTATTATTACGTTTCCAGCAGTACTGAATATATATTATCTATTTCTATTATTTGAGCCTTTATTGGTGACAATAAGTAAATGTATGGTTTCTGAATTAAAGCACATTTTGATAAAAAGTATATGTTTAATTTTTCCTCTTAAATTATTTTTCCAAGATTGTGGATATGCATAGATTTTTTTTATTCTTAATGTTGGTGTAATAGTGACTTTAAAGGGTAAGTTCTCTTTTGACCATTTGAGTACTTCTAATTTTAATATACTTTTCCTGGTTTCCATATTATTTTTTAATGATCTTTAGTTTTACAGATAACATCTTGCACTGTTGATTATGTTGATAGCTGTGTCTAAAAAACATGACGCTATTCTCTCTGCACAGAAGTGCAATAGAGGCAGACTTCTGTTAACTAATTTTAGTTAATGCTAACAAATCAGAACTGTAAAACTCCAGACAATACTAGATGCTAGCAAAGGAATACAAGTCACTCTTAACATTTTGCTGCTTTCTAGCAGTTATCCGGATTTTTGCAGCACATAGTAGCCATATTTTAGTACTAATTTTGCTTTGTTTATCAACTTACTTTGTGTTCTGCATTTAATAATGGTCAGACTTCTTGATCATTGATTAGAACTGCAGGATTTAATCAAATTAAATAATTTCCTTAAGAGAAACTGATTCTAGACCTCTGAATAAGCCTAACTATACCTGAAATGCATATAGTTTCTCACACTTTTGTTCCTATCACTGCAGCTATACTGTAATGTTTATAATGATTTTGTAGCACGTTTGAAAGTATTTCTGTCTGATATTTAGTACGAGCAACACTGACCCTCTGTTATTTCTGCATCTTGTCCTATGCATTTATTGTGTTATTCTAAGTTTCCTGTTATTGCCATCTGACGCTGTGGTTGTTTACTGCTCATTCGGCACATCGTTATCAAACTGTCAGATCGCAGCTCGCATTTTACTGTCTTTTAACTCAACTTTTTTAATCCTCCCCCCCCGCCCGCCCCCCCCATACATGCAGGTTACTACCAACTTAGGAAAACATTCTGCACTCCTGAGGTGGATTATAAATGCAACAAGGCAAGACGTTTACTATAGTACGGTGGGCTTTAAGCTGTCAAACTTCTTTCAGTACGACGGTATACCAGCGTTATTACTCCGCGACTTGTCTCTCGGGAAGGGCGCGATTAGGGGATTTGCCGCCTGTGCGTGTTGAGGTGTAATTTGTAGAGGGACAGCCCAGTTTACTCGGTTACAAGAAAACCGGCGGGCCCCTCCGAGACCAATATATTGATGCCACAGGATCTTTTTCCAGACCGTTACGTCTGACTGATGGACGGGCAGCGAAGCAAAAGGGCGGCTGGAGTAACGGACCGCCAGCAGCAGCTTTAGCCGCGGGAAGAGCCAAGGGGATTTCACGGCAGAGGGAAGGGAAGGGAAGGGAGCACCCACCTGACGCGCAGGTTACGGATGGGGTCTCGGGATCGGTAGACCGCCCCGCCCGTATCTTCGTTCCAAGCCGCTTCCGCCATCGCCGCCAGCGCGCTCCCGGAGCGGGGAGAGAAAGCGGCGGCGTCCCGTCTAGGCCGCTTTTCCATGGATACGACAAGATGGCGCTGATCATAGATATAGGAAAAGAAGAGGCCCCTAAGGCTGCAGTGGTGCCGTTATCAGGCTCCGTGGGAACAGCCACGGTTGACAGTCTCCGCGGGAGAAGATGGTGAAGCACGTTTGTAAAGAAATCAGCTTTTGGAGACCCATAGGGTTAGAAGAGACCATTGAAGCATTGGGTCCTCCCTTGCTCTTCATCAAAGGCAGTGGAGGGAACTCGTGAAAGCCATTTTCTGTCATACATTGCAGTGATACAAGACTGTTGGCTTTGCTGCAACAGACAAACACAGATACTCCTCTAAAAAGAGAACCAGAGCCCAAATTCGTTCAGGTTTCTTCAAATAGCACTATCCACATCAGGTGAAGCATACCAGTGCTTATCTTCCAAGCTGATTCAGGCTATCAGCAGAAACCACCTAGAAGCGTACATGGGACAAGCTGGCCAGGCTCTAAGCAAAATATGAAAGGGTTGCAATTCCATCAGTTGTTAATGGCAGTATCCTAAAAGCACAGGAATGCCATTTCAGTTCCTCAGAATGCCTTCTTTGGCTTCACAGTGAAAAATGCCATCCTTGAGCAAGATAAGGTTGGTTTAGTTCAGAAACCAACGTAATGGCTTTTTTGCACCTAATAATAGTCAGAAAAGGGACTGTAAATTGCTCTCCTGTCCTTACTATCAACACAAATTATGACTTTTGTCCTTAAAAGCAAAGCCTGCTATACAATGGCTGGGCCTGATATCTGAACATTAATCTGATAAATAAGAAATGCTTTGGAGAGGAACTTCTTTGAAGACCCTGATCTTTCAGGGCTGTAGCTCTACCTAAATACAAATATTCCCTCCCACTTAGTAGCATACTTTCAAACACATTGTTAATCTAAATGGGATTTGTTCACATTTTCCTGACTCAACTGGACTAAGCTCTGTAGGTTACATTTGCTTCACATTCTTCTAACCTTAGATGTGTTAGTGGCAGTCCCTCCAAGTTATGAATGGGTTGACTTTGTGCTCCCATCCCCTACTCTTGCCCAAGGAAATTCTCATGAAACCCCCCTAACAAAGACTCTTCAAGCTTTCTTCAGTGCTGGGTTGAAGTACATCTACCTATCTGGGAGTTGGCAGAAAAGTAGACCAGTGTGAAATGTGTTGTTCCCCTTGCTAATTAACCCCAAACCTGCTCTCACTATCTCTGTCCCCACTCACTACAGTCCCCTGATGTCCAAGATAATGGGTGAGAAAGCCTAATCATTTTTCACTTTGATGGTATTGAAACTGGTGAAAACAACTGTTTTGTGCCAGTACAGCTAAGTACTGCTTAACCCTGTTTCTTGCATGGAGTGGGAATTAGATGAAGGCAACATCACGGGAAATGCATAAAAAAGATGATGTTAGGATATGTTTCTGTCATGGTTCCATGTAAGTGGGAAAAGACCTTCAGTGCCAGCCATCCTGTTTGTTGCTGTGAATATCTTACCCCACCCCCACACACACTTTCTCACACATATACTATTTCAAATAGTTTAATTTTAAAAATATTCTCTTCAGTGCTAAAATATCTCTTTTCTTCCCTGCGTGGCCAGCACTTTTCATGGCAGCAGGGCCCTGATCATGAAGTCAGTTCCACATGCAGAGTGTGATGGAGACGACAGGTCTGCAGAGACTAGAGAGGGCC